AAGAGACCAAAGGGGCGGCTTCTGTCCAGAGGTTAGAGGGGAAGGCAGAGAGGAATGTTCATGGGGAATTGGGCGGAGGGGAGGAGTGTGCTGTCACAGAATGGGGTGAGCGGTTGGGGTCTCATAACAATGTATGTTAAAAAAAAAAATTCTGTATGGGAGACTAACTTGAAATGTAAACTTCATTTAATTACATCAATAAAAAAAACGAAATGAAGCCCTCCTGAAGTCCACCTTTCAGCCAAAGGTTAGATAGGCCTATAAAGCAAACAATAACACATGTGAGGAACATGCTTCTTGGTTCCATCAGGTATACAAGACCAACTGGGCAACACTTGCCCAAAAGCAAAGACAAGCAGAAGGCAGGAAGGGACAGGAGAACTGGAACAATGGCCATGGGGAGTCCAGGTGGAAAGGGAAGGGGCAGAGTGCTGACATATTGCAGGGACTGCAACCAATGTCCCAAAACAATCTGTGTATACGTTTGCGTATAAATTCTTGAATGAGAAACTAATTTGCGCTGTACACTTTTGCCTAAAGCACAATAAAATTAAAAAAAAAGTATTCCCAACCCCTCCCAAAACACTGATTAGATCTAAAACACATCCTACTCTGATATGGCCTTATTAACAGAACAAAGAAAATCCTATTCCCAAATGGGATTGCATCCAGATACGATGTTGTTGTGTGCCTTCAATAGGTTCTGACTCATAGCGACCCCATGTGACATACTGGAACTGCCCCATAGGGCTTTCTAGGCTGTAATCTCTTCCGGAGCAGATCGCCAGGTCTTTCTTCCTCGGGGCTGCTCGGTGGTTTCGAACCACGTACCTTTCGGGTAGCAGCCCAGCGTTCAACCATTGCACCACCAGGGCTTCTGCCACAGGTACAGGGGTTGGGATTTACAACATATTTTTTGGGGACACAATTCAATCCACAACAGTGATGTATAAGAATGCTAGCGTTTTGTGTGCGCACTGCAACTTCCGGCGCTAAACCAGATTGCACCGTCCTCGAACCCTGCGTCCCTCTTGGTCTGAGTTGTGTCGTCCTGGACTAGGTCCTTCACCCTGACCGCCACCAGGACTCCCCCAGCCTCCGGCCCGGTGGCCGCTGGTCCCTCTTTGCTCTGTCCAGGTCTCCTCTCTGGGCCCCTTCCTTTGCTTTCATTTATACCCTCCTGCCTTCCCACACTCCGCGCTTAGGCACAGCGGAAGGAAGGAGAGAACGAAGGCCGAGGCCGCGAGCGGTGCCCGCGGGGCGGAGGGAGACTGCCCCGCCGAGGGGCTGCTGGGGGGAGAGGCCGGCTTCCGGACGCGCCAGGCGGTTCTCCGCGGGGCTGCGGAACGCCGGCGCGCAGAGAGTACGCTTCCGGCCGGGCTCAGTTCGCAGGACGCCGCCGCGGGTAGGGACTTCCGGCGTGGAGCGGAAGTGGTGTCAAAAGCCTCTGGAGAAGTTGGCCAGGCGGGTGGATGCTGGCGGCCCGGCACGTCGTGTGCGCCCTGTCGGGCGGAGTGGACAGCGCCGTGGCCGCGCTGCTGCTGAAGCGGAGAGGTGAGGCGGCCAGGCCCGTCGCCCGCCTCCGTCCCGGATCCCCCGTCCTGCGCGGCCTCGGGCAGATAGTCCCCTGTCGGGTCGCAGTGCGCGGGAATGGGGAGGGGACAGCCGGCCTCACGATCTCGCCTCGGTCCGACCCTCCTCCCCTGTCCTCACCTCCTTCTCCTCTGTGCGACCCTCCTCCCCCGTCCTCACCTCCCTCTCTGCGACCCTCCTCCCCTGTCCTCACCTCCCTCTCTCCTCTGTGTGACCTTCCTCCCCTGTCCTCACCTCCCTCTGCTCTGTGCCACCCTCCTCCT